GATGAGCACGCGCTGTCCACCAGTAGAATCGCAGCTGGTTGACCTCAACATTTCATGGTGAAAGAAGAGCTCTTGGCTGGTCTGGCTAGCAGCTGATACCAATTGTGCATGTTGGCCGTTGGCTCGTAAGGAGCTCATCCGCCCTTTAAGAGGTTTTGTTTTTAGTCCTGCAGGGTGACATGCCACCCACCCAGGCGTGCAGACATGCAGACATGTTTTTGCAGTCGAGCTTCTATTGACTATTTTCAGCGTTTTACTCAGCCAATTTTCTTTAATTACACCTGAATTCGATCGCTCTACAGTCAGACTCTTCATTGGGAAGGAAATATCTGCTCCACCTACGTTCAACTGTAAGTCAAAGCCTGCGAAACGCACACCTTGCGAATTGAATTTGAAGCTCCACGCGTTGTTGCGGTTCGTCAAGCTTGGCCAATTTTGTCTGTGTATTCTTCTATCTGGCGATATTGCCGTAAATCCAGAACCTAATAATCTTCAACCTCCTGTAGGCCTCAGAGGTTTATCAGTCTGTCACTGGAACATCCAACGACTGACTGACACCAAATTGGAAGAACTATCGTTAATGCTCACCTCAAACAACAACAGTGCTGCTAAACTCGACGTCTTAATTCTCACTTAGACGTTCGGATCAAGTAAAATTTCAGACAGCTATTACATGATACCCGGCTACACATTACACAGTAAAGATCGAATCGGGAAGAAAGGTGGCGGCATAATTCCGTATGTGAATGAGAAAGTTATGGCTTTACGTCGAAGAGATTTGGAACTGGATGATCTTGAACCTCTCTGGCTTCAAATTTGTCCTCATAAATCAAAGAGACCGATTTTGATATCTGGTGTTTACCGTCCACCTTCAGCCAACAAAGATTATAATCAGAGCTTGGGTAAAAATATTGAAAATGCCCATCTCCAAAACAATAAATTGATTATTCTGGGAGACTTCAATTTGGATTATATTGATTTCAACTGTTATTCAAAACATTGTCTCGCAAAGGCACTGAACAGTCTTGGATTAACGCAGATGGTAAATGGGGTAACAAGACCTGCCTCTGATGCGTGCTTAGACCATATTTATTCTAGTCATCCTGCTAGAATTAGAGAAGTATCCATTGGTAAATCTGGACTTTCCGATCACCTTCCGGTCACCATCTTGAGGAGCTACAAAACCATGGATGCACAACGTAAACAACATTCTAAAATCAAATACAGAAATATCGACAAAATCAACAAAGAGTGCTTTCTGCGAGACCTAAGAGAAGCCCCTTGGGATATCTCCTTTGTTTTTCGAGATGCCGATGACATTGTTGAATCTTGGTACAAAATCTTTAATGACATTCTTGATAATCACGCACCTTTAAAGTCCAAGAGTGTGAAGAAAATCAATCAGCCGAAATGGTTCACTAATGATCTATACAACGAAATAAATAAACGCGATAATCTTCTAAAGAGGGCCAGGAGAACACAAAATGAGCAAGATTGGTCTGCTTTTAAACTGGTTAAAAACAAAGTGACGAGGAAACTAAGAAATGCGAAGGAACAGTACTTTAAAACTCAGTTCAGTAAAAATCAAAAATGTCCAAAGAAACTTTGGTCTTTAATTAAAGACCTATCTAAAGATACAAAGAATAACGACGACTCCGTCCCTATTGCTGACGAAAACAACAACTTGATAAAGGATGACCATTCAATCGCTGAACGCTTTAACCGCTTCTTCGTTGATGTATATAAACGTCTCATAAAGGCGGCACCTGTACTTCATTATGATGCTCTTCCTGGTCCACCAGACAAATCTAACAGTCAAATTGAGAATCTTATTCCGCAAATAACTCCTAGTGAGGTTAACGATTATCTTCTAAGTATACCTACACACAAAGCCACGGGAATCGATGGGCTTGGTGCCAGAGTTCTAAGGATTGCAGCTCCTGAAATATCATGCTCCATAGCTAAAATTATAAATCACTGTATTGAAACTTGTACATTTCCCTCACAATGGAAAATAGCAAAGGTTAAACCTCTATTCAAGAATCAAGGAAACAAGCAAGATATTCAAAACTATCGTCCTATTAGTATTTTGCCTATTCTTTCTAAAGTCTTTGAAAGACACATNTAAAGAACTCCACTGTCTCCTAAGGTTACAGAAAAGGGCTGCCCGAGTAATTCTTGGAGTGGACTCTTATTCTAGAAGTGTTGTAAACTTTAGTAAACTAGGCTGGTTGCCTTTTTTTGATGAAATCAAACTAAATAAGTGTACAATGATTTTTAAGAGCCTTAAAGGCGATGTTCCGATTTACATCAGAGACTTGCTCAAGACGAACAGTTCTGTACACAATAGGTCTACTAGACATGGCAATTTAAATTTAGTGTGTCCCAAATACCTAAGAAATAACGATGGTGGCAAGGCATTCAGTGTTGACGCAGTTAAGTTATGGAACAGCCTTCCCCATGATATCAAAAATAAGCCTAGTATAAAACTATTCAAAACAGCTGTGAAAAAGCATTTTATAAGCTCATATAAAAACCTGGACAACTTTGAAACAATATTAAGCAATAGCACATTATCTAATTTTAATTTTTTATAAATTAATTTTATCTTTCTGAATATTTTTAATATATCCTGCTATTTCTATCATAGAATTTTGTAATTATAAATATATTTATTTATTTATCAGTTTTTTTGTAATGCTGTATAATCTAGTTAGAGGGCCACAGGTTTGTCAGCTTTTCAGCTGTTACGTGTCCCCCTCTATAAATAAAGTCCTTACTTACTTACTTACCACACCAGTGTACACTGGTGGGGGGGCCAGTTTAGACGCCGACCACCCGTCCATGCGGCAGGTAGTACTGGGTTACAATGTTACCAGTAGCAACGACTAACGTCGCTGACCTGACCTGAAAATGTAGGTTCTCACTTGCGGGTTTTTACTGTATTTCAACAGAGTTGATATAACCAAATTACATTATTACCCCCACCGACGCAGCACCACAGTTTCTTTAGAAACTTTTAGCCTTTATAAAGGGTCTATAGAAAATATACTCTTCAAAAGGAAAAAGTCCCGAGATAATAATTATGAAATCATCGACCTTTTGCTAGTCATTTTTGATATGAGGATTAATATGAAAACGTTACGATTCACATTTAACACAATTTTGTAAGATTTGCTTAAAGACTTTTCACATGTTCAAGTGGTTTTAACAGGAGGACGAGTGAATCCTGAACGAACGCTATAGTACAATTCTTCATTACAAAGTTTCTCAGTATGACACAAATTTATCGATTTTTTATGATTTTTGCCAGCATGAAAAATCGCAAAATATCCACCAAACCAAATTTTAAATGGGTTTCTGATGCAAATAATACTGAACTTCTTACTTTCGTGATTACGGCTTTCTTGGATTCTCGGGAAGGGAAAAGGAAAACGGAAAACTTAACGTTCTTCTCATCTATATCCTCTGAGACTACAGATAAAAAATATCGGAAGGTCGATAATGTGGAAAGTTGAAAAAGCATACATTATTAAGTATTAAGGTTTCCTTGGAGTCATGTGAGGGGCGAAGTAAAAAACCGGAATTTTTTTTTCTCATCTTTAGCCTCTCAAACTAGAGTTCAAAAAGACTTAAATAGATCGAGACGTCGACACTGCGAAAAGATAAAGTACAATAAAAAATTTTGAAAATTGACACGTTGCCATGAAGCGTTGCAAACGATTGCCTCAACTACGATACGTGTAGTGTACCCTGTGCCATGAGTTGTTAGAGGTCTGAATCAAAGTAAAACCTTGTCTAATATTGTTATTATACCAAGCCTCATGAAACAAATCATTTTAGGTCCTCAAGAATGCAAGTGCTCTTGTAATGACGTCATGTTGACAGCGTTAAATGGAGTTCTTGGCTCGATAATCCTTCTTCTTATAATTTTCATAATCTGGCTACTCAAGGAAGGTGAGCAACAATTTCATTACTTATGATAAGGGGGTGAGGCAAGATCAATGGCGAAGCAAGATAAATTGTTTTTACCTTCCACCCCAAAAGTTCTACTTTTTTTTTCTTTTTTTTCCTTTTAGACGTTGCAGGGAAACAAAGGTAAGAATTTGCTTTCACTTCGAATGGTTAGAGATCATCCGAAAATAAAATGTCAAAACTGACGTAATTCTTTTTATAAATATTTGCATATTCAGTGTATATTTATTTGGTGCATGATTA